TATGATGAACAAAGCAAATAATTACTTTATGTTAGTATTTGAGGTTATTAGGAAACTAAATATACAGAAAAATCATTTATAACACTTAGTTAAAAAGACCTATTTTGAAAATGATTGTAAAATGTAATTTTCAATTATGGGTACATTTTTTTATTATTATAATTGTTCAGTCGCGCAGTTTTAATAGATGGCATATAATCTACGTGAAAATAGTTTGTTGCTAAAAAAAAGTACGTGAAATTAGTTTACTAGTGAAATGTTAAGTTTAAAACTAACACCTAGAAGAAAACAAATCTTCCAATTACGCTCGTGATGACACATAAACTTTGATTTTGTTTCTTTAGGAAAACTATTAAGTGATTATCTAGTCTATGTTTCGATTATGAATCGGAATTAACTCTTTTAAGGGTTTTAATTCAATTAGTTACCCAAGATCAGATGTGTGCAGCAAAAAATGATTCCTAATAAAGAGATGACCACTAAGATTGATTATATTATCATCACGTAATCAGAATCATTTGTCACATTAAAATGCTTAAAATCCGAGTTGGATTGACTTTTAAATGGAGTATCAACTAATAAACTCAATAGGAAAAGTATGAAACTATCCAAAGATTAATTAGGGAAGCTTTAATATATGCTTGTGAGTGGGAAAGACAAATTTTTTGCTCAGTGGAAAAGACAAACTTAGCCATGCATGCATCAATGCTTTCAAATCACGTTTTTCATCAAATGATTATTTGAATAAGAATTTAATACGCCCCCCCCCCCCCCCATTATTTGTCTATTATAATGGTGATATGTAGTTAAAGTATCAATACACAATGTTATAGTTAGTCACAGTGCATTAATTTAGTCGGACCAAATATCAATATATTCTTCTGACGACATACTCTCAAGAAATAAGCAAAAACCTGAGAACTTAAGCAGTTAACGAAAAATTAGATTTTTCATGGTTATCTTTTTATCTTTTTTTTCGTGATATCCAACTTCGTTGTAATATTGATTTTATGTATAAAACTCATATTAATTTTAACGTTCTTTTTTTTTATTACAACAAGTTATGAATTTTGGTTTATAAGACCACATATATCAGTACATGTTAAACTTTTATTTTCTCTACCCCGAAACTACTTGTTTTAAGGATTTCCCTCGTACACCAATTGATCTATTGATACTAAATAATTTCAAAATATTTTGTTGACTAATTTAAAATTATACTACTTACCTAATCTGTGATGTTAACTAGTTCAACTACAGTTTAAGAAATAGTTAATATTAAACATTAAACCCATATGAAGAAGAATGTTTAAACGTTAATTTACACAACTAATGTTCTAAGAAAGAGTTCGACGTTCACTAGACATTCATTTTCTTAGAAAAATATATTTCTATTTGTCGAACATTCGTTTAATAAATTAGCAAGCACTTATCTATCAATTGGATACGTAGCCAATTTACTAGTCATCCAATCATGGACCAATCGAGAAAGTTTGTCACCACCTAATGGTAGCTAGATTGAATACACTATATATGTGTGTGTGCACACACACCTATGCATACATTTGATTCTTGTAGGGCACAAGACTTCATATCGCATGAACATGTATTTGTGAGCCTATCTAGAGTCGACAGGAACATGCAATATACTTAGTTTATTGTAAATTCTGATTAACGAGAGCATCTACACAAACACATACGCATGTAAGCTTTTGGAGGTTGGATTAAGATATCCTTTCTTTTCTGGTTTCTACTATTCTCAAAGCAAGCATGCCTGGTGACTCAGAATAGTTTTTTCCCCGAAAATAAACATTATTTATAAACCATTATTATTAATATAACTAAATTATGGCCTGAAACTAATGAAAAGGCCAGTTATAGTTCCCCTCTCGCTTTCCAGTTTCCTATGAG